GTAGGGAAAATCAGCATTTTCAGGAACTTGATTTGTTGCTCTCTAAAATACAAGGTTCCAGGGGGAAAAATGACTCTGTGATCATTAGTGACTCCGTACTGCTAAAAACATGATTTTTCTATGTTAAATACGGTTGTATAACATTCTAAATACTTACTCGGAAATCATCTGGGAGTGTTAAACAAAAAACCACCTTTATTCTTTCCTGAGATAAATGAACGCTGTTCTGCTGGATTCCCCAGGTTCACTGGCTGTTTGAGTATCAGCCACAACTTCCCATTAGGAGTCAGGGTTTTTGGCCTGGGCCAGGAAGGAGGAGGTTGTGCAAGGTTTTTCCCCGAAGATGATGAGTGTTTCTGCCTTCTGATTGTCCTTGCCTGGTATTGTGCAATTTCAGTCTCAAGCCATGTGAAAAAAGATTCCAGGTCCAAGAATTTCTACCTTCTTTCTCACCACTGCAGCTGAAGCTTCTACCTATACAGAAAGCAGAGGATCAGGTTGAAGTTGCTAATTGTTTACCTGTCAATGGAGATGTAACACAATGCTCACTTAGTACAACAGGAATGTCACTCCTCCCTGCTCTGAAACTTCTCCCTATGTAACTGAACTCTTCCGGACTTCAAGAGTACTGCTGTTGCAAGGCAGCTCACCAACCACTAGAATTTTGCACTGGGGTTACGTTAAATTTTAGAAGCATAGTATTTCAAAGGTGGCAGTTTGGGCTTTGCAGAATAGAACTGTTGATTTTGTTTTTCTTGAGCAACAACTTTCAAAGACAGTGAGGAATGAAGACATGAACCATCCTAAAATTGCTATGTTGTTATGTTGCTCTATTTTTAGAAAATCTGTTAGATTGTCCTATTATCCCTGAACTAGAAGCTGGAAGTTAAACTTCTGTTTCAGACAACCAAGGATATGTCCTGGACAGTCAGGGATATGTCCTGGTTGGGGCTCTGTTCTCCACAGTCTTGCATGTTGCTTGTGTACCTGCTCTGCTCTTGCTGCTTCTCTGGCGAGCAAATTAAAGCACAAATTTACAAACTGATAAAAAGCAGGAGTCTCAACTGTTCAGTTGCAGTGCCTGCTCAGGAGAAGGGCTGAGCAGCCGGGGAATGGGGGGGTATGGTTGCCTGCAAAACCAAACACAGCTGTTAGGGCTAATTTTAGGTTTTCTAGTCCTGATGCTAGCCCTGTATTCCAGCAAGCTGTTTGTAAGTCATAAGCATTCCCAAGCATGTCCCTGTGTTACAGTGGGAATATTAATGTGACCTTTCTCTAAAATTGTATTTATAGAGGCCTCTGAAATAATGAGAGACATCGGAACAGCCATCCAGTATCTGCATTCAATGAACATTGCCCATAGAGACGTCAAGGTGAGGCCTGAAAGCTTGTGGGCAGGGAGAAGAGAGCATAAGGTAGAAAAATAAATGCACGGTGGTGGTTTAAATAGAACTAGGTGTACAACCAGATGGTCAAAGTGTTCCTATTCCTCTGCCAGTGTGAGAAGGGATCTGTTCACAACTAGTTTGCAACTAGTCAGAGGTCAGAATATTCATGTATGCTAATGCCTTCCAGTTGCATACGGAATGCAGAACAACCTTGTGATAGTCAGATGGTTAATTAACTGGATTGCAAGTTGGTAGTACCTCTTTAATTAACAAGAAAATAATGCTGCCTGAGGTGAACTTGTACTAGATGCTATACCTCTATGTACAGTCTTTGCTAGTTATTAGTTGTTTTCAGAATCATACTTGCCTAAAACAAACAAAACAGAAAAAAAACCCCAAACAGCCAAAGCCCCTTCAGCAACAAAAGAAGCTGCGTGTATGGGAGGAATAATACGAATTCCATGCATCAAACCCACTTTAATAGTACATGTAAATATTTGGGAAAATGGGAAGATCTCACTTACTACCATGTGGAACAGTGTGTTTTATTAGCTAAAACTTGTTCCCAGATCATCTTGTAGAGATTTGGCAGAGTTTGTAGTATTGTATTTTGTTTTGATTCTGTAAAGTGCACAGGCATTTCTAGTGCAGCGATATGGCAGCGAGATGGAATGTGCTGGAGAGCAGGTCACATGATGATAGACTGAGGCATCTGATTGATTCCACAGCTCTGAGTTTGTGAATTTTCTACAGATGCTTCTGTGTGTTTAGCTGGAGGGAGAACTGCCATTGCTTGGTGTCAGAGGGGTATGTTCGAGGGTTCTTTTGGTAGGAACTGGAGAAAGACTTAACAGTTTGGAGACTAAAAATCTATTCGGTTTTGTGGAGCTATGTGCCATTGCCTATCACCAGCACAGAAACTGAAGCACTTAGTCCCAAAACCTCCCAACAGGCACTAACAGGTGAACTAACATAGAAGTGGTTCAATTTGCTTATTAGATCCTAAGTCCTGTTTTCTTTCAAGCCCTTCTTTCTGTATGTCCCTAAACACTAGCATGACAGAGGGCATGGCTTCCTCATGACTGAGCAACTGGAAAACAAGTTCAGACAATTGCAGATTCCAGAGATGTGCTGTTGTCCCTGTTCTTGTGTGCAAGAGCTTGTACTTCCCTCTGTGCCACTTCTGGTTTTGGAGAGCCTTTATGGAATGTGGAGCAAGAGTGGAATTAACTCAGGTTTCAGGAGACAGAGAAGAGGGGGAGCAGGGAGGGCCCTGTGTCTGTATCAGTTAATTCTGATGGAGTTATGTCAGTTGCTTATAGAGAGTTTGGCTGATGACTTCCACTAAGCTACTTGAGTGTGGTACAGAGTGCTGTCAGATCAACTGATGTCGATCAGACTGAACGATCCTAGTAAGTGCAGTGAATTAGAGAGAGGTTCGAGGAGTCAGGCTTGATGCCCATTGGACCTGGTGTCAGAGTCTTGTGATTTGCTCTCCTAAATACCATGTTGAGAAGGATGTTGATCCTTATTCTGAGCAAAAATGCTACATGCTGGAAGGGAACTTTCTACATGGTGTAGTGGGGATGTGAGAGAAGTATAAGACCCAGATGCTGGTGGTGATCCAGGCAAGCGGGAACGGTTTGACCTTTCAGCTCATTAGAGATATCTCTTCATTGTCCAGTTTATCCTTTCTCTTGGTGACCTTTCAGCCTGAAAACTTGCTTTACACATCTAAAGAGAAGGATACAGTACTCAAACTCACAGACTTCGGCTTTGCCAAAGAAACCACTGTACAAAATGCACTGCAGACCCCCTGTTACACTCCTTACTATGTGGGTAAGTTATCCAAAATGCATTTCTTTCAGCTTTCAGTCTGTCATCCTTCCCCTTATAGGGGGCCTGTGGACTGTAGGAATGGACGGGAGATCTTCTATTGTGGATGTAATGCAGAGAGGTAGCCTGCAGAATTTAAAGTGGGATCCAACCCAGACCTAGTCTGATTCCAGTACAGTTCAGTGCTCCTGCTTTCTTCCTTGGCTGCAGAGGAAACAGCCTTAATAGGGGATGCAGATGAGGATCAAGGAGAGAGAACATGTTGCTTCTGATTACACTTGAAGTAATCCTGATGTTTCCTCTGAATGATGCAATAAAAGCCATAATTTGAACTTGGTTTCATGATTATTTTGGTGTTTCCTTGCAAAACTTCCCTTAGTTTAACTAATGCAATAAAAGGGAATAGGGAGAGTATTGCCTCAGCCGAATAGCTGCTTAAAGCTGGCAAATGGAGGAATTAGTAATAAAAGACCAATGTGACTTAATCACAGCTGAATTTTTGCCTGCATTTCATCCAAGACAGAGCACTGTGTAATGAATGCCACAGTAGATTGTCCTTTATGCACTCATTTTAGAGTACGTTCCTTTTGGTCTTTGAGTTAATAGTCATTCACCATATGATAAGACTTAGGCAGTCCGCCCTTGGAATTTCTTTGGAGAAAAAAGGGCTTAATTTTTTTGGAAGAATTAGTTCTCTTCTACTATGTAACTTTTAATAGGTTTTTTTGTGCTGAAAGATATTGTTATTCATTGGTAGCAGATAATTATGATAGCAATATTTTTTTCTGATTCTTTCTTCAATATTCTTGTAAACTGGGATTAGCGATAAAATGTTAAGGAATTTACGCATATATGGTTTTATGCCTTTATATTTGTATATACACAAGCTGACGTTTCCCTTCTCAACACCTTTTTATAAACCAGCATGATAGCTCATATGTTTAGAGAATCATTTTCCTACAAAATCAAGCTCCCTGCCAGTTCACCTGCCCCAGGTGAACCCTTCTAAATGTAGCGCTCTATGATTTTGTTACTTAGTGAAAAAATATAATGCTCTGGAGGCCAAAGAAAAATACAGTGATCTGTAGTTGCTGGAGCTAAACCCACTCCACCTAGGTATTGTTCAAAATTTTATCACAGCTCAAGTAGGTCCTTTCTGTCCTGATTTCTGGAACATATGCTCCTGCCTCTTTCGGTGCAGTGTCTCCCTGTACACATTTAGCTACAGCTCCTTCTGCTTTTCTGTAATCTTAAGCAGAGAGACACTAAGGTGAGGAGTAGGGCATTTTGCCAGCTCCATTCCTCCTTTTTAAAGCTAGATTAGATGTATTTAGGAACCTGTCAATAGAAAATACTACCCAGTTCCTGCAGTGAGTTGCATTTTTTAAATGCATCTGATATTTGTTGTTGAAGTGTGCTGCTACCTATAAGGTGATGGAGATGAAAGGAAATATCTGGTACTCTGCTAATTTCTGGCTTTAATCTTCTTCAGCCCCAGAAGTCCTTGGTCCCGAGAAGTATGACAAATCATGTGACATGTGGTCGTTGGGTGTCATCACATATATTCTGTAAGTATTTGGTAAGAGGCTTGATGTACAGAAAAAGAACACATCTTGTTAAATCTGCATTTACAACTAATTAGGCACTAGGATCGTGCAACCTGCATAACAATGTAAGCTTGTATGGGACTTTTTAAGAGATGAAAGGACTTTCCTAGTTATAAGAGTTCTTTTGTCCACTCTTGCAGCCTGTGTGGGTTCCCTCCATTCTACTCAAACACTGGTCAAGCCATTTCTCCAGGGATGAAGAGAAGAATTCGGATGGGGCAATATGGGTTTCCCAATCCAGAGTGGGCTGAAGTATCAGAGGAAGGTAACAATGCTCACTGCTACTGATGAGTATGTACGTGGTGTTGTGAAGTGGTGGAGTGCTTACCAAAGACTATTTCTAAAAACCTGTCTTAGTTTTTGTTTCCCGTTCTTTTAGAATTTAAATTAATTTTTTGTGAGGTGATACAGAATGACTGGGAACTCAGATACTAGCCAGCAACCTAAGTACTACCGAAAGTAAATGACTACCAAAAACTTTCTTTCAAATTCCAGCTAGTGCTAGTGAATGCTGAGATTAAACCCTCTGGAAACAAAAGTCTTTAATCCTGAGAAAGGAGACTGCCAGGACAGCTGCAATGCAAACTGAGTTGGAAGAAAGGCTAAACCGTCTTAAGAACTCATTCAGTCTTTGCCCTCCTTGGTGATAGAGCCAGCGAAGGATGGCAAGTTTTCATGCTAGCTTTTTGTGATGTGGGAACTTGCCAGCCACCACTTAAATCAAGGTCAACAATTTATTTTGTATAAGTCATTGACCGAAAGCTGCTGCTGTTCAGCTGTGACCTGGATGGGCTCAAACCCGTGTCCTGAATGCGAGTGGTTTTGATTCCCTCTTATTCTGACAGTTTCATAAGCTGGAAGTCTCACCTGCCTGTCATATTAGAGAGAAAGGTCAGCGACCTCTGGGCACATCTTTTTTTCTAATAAGCCCTTTATATTTCTGTTGCTAGCATCCTGTTACTGTCTACTGTTCAGCAATAACAAATTATCATTGAATAATACTGTGATCTGTGGCATTTTAATGCCTCATTGGATCTCATGGCTGCGTGTGCAGCATAGGCTACTGAACATTAATAAAGGAAGATGTTTTACTTATGGGTTTCTGGCTTAATATTTTGTCTGCCTTGGGTCTTGTTCATATTACAGCAGTTATTAAAATACTAGGGGAGCTTGGTGAGAGAACATGCATTTGGAAAATTTGTAGGGTTTCTGTATGCTTGCCTGAATGAAGATAGGTGCCCTCTACCTTTGAACCTATTAAGATCAGCTAGCTTATGTGTATTCTTTTAGGCTGATCAGGCACCTTCAGCAGACTGCTTCTTTTTGCCTTCCTTTGTACTGTTCTTGTCATGGTTTTCTTTATCTAATCATTCCATCATTGCATCATCTATGGAGACTTCCCCTGAATTCCCCTCCAGCTTCCTGTAATCATCTCAATGGGCTCTGTTTGTGGTCCTCTCCTTTTATTCCCTTGTACATTTTAGACTCCAGGTAATCTCTACTGTAAAACTCCTTTGCAGCCTCTCTTGTCAAACTGAAGTCTCAACTTGTACTTCTGGCAGCTTCTTACGTGCATTTAGTCATCTTGTATTCCAAGCATTTAGTCATCTTGCATTCAGTGTTTCTAAAAGAGAACTCTTATTCAGAAGTTTTGCTAGGTTGCCCCAAGGAAGTTGTGTGTAAGTCTTTCTAAATAACGTCCCTTGGATGCAGCATTTCAAATCTGTCCACCCACATTAATGAAACTCTTGCCTAGACTCTCATCTCATATCTCAGTTACCTAGTACTCTTTCTTTGGCAGATACCACGTTCACAGAAAGCTGCTGCAAAGCCCGTGTGTGCAATCCAGTTCTTTGACACTGTCGTCCTTTTGGTGGCCTCTCAGTTGTCAAATAAAAATTTATTTTCCCTTTTTTTTTTTCCCACAGCCTGTGCCAGTTTTTGTCTTCTATCATTTCTCAACACACCAGCTTATGCATTCATTCAGCCTGTAATGCCAAGCTTGTCGCCATCTTTCAGACAGACAGCTTGCCAGCTTTCTGTTCCCATGTTTCTCTTTTTCTCAGGTTCTTGCTCTCAAAACAGTTGGTTTAGTGATATAGATAGCATAGCTGGAATAACCAGTCCTTTGTCTTTCCTTCTTACCTCTTGTTTTGGATGTTTTCATGTTCTGCCTCTTTAAATATAGTAACTACCACACTGTACATGGAGTCTTAACATGATAACAGCAATAGGTAGGTGTTTTGAGTTCTGCAAAATTATCTTTCTTCCTTCAGCAGGTCTTTGTGTTCTCAGGGTTATGTGGAAACACAGTAGTAGACTACAACATGCCATGTTGGTTCTGTTTTTCAGCCAAACAACTGATTCGCCATTTACTGAAGACTGACCCAACAGAGAGAATGACAGTGTCTCAATTTATGAATCACCCTTGGATTAATGTGAGTTTCATATCTTTTTACAAGATGAATTCTTTCATGCAGAACTTACATGTAGCTCCACATAGCAGAGCAAGAGAAGGATGATGATTACTGTTAATACCTTAAATAACCTACTGTGCCCTCCACAGAAGGTCATCTGCCTGTAAAACCACAATTCTTGGTGTTACCAGAGGACACACAGAGACACCTACAATACTGTCCTTGGAAGCAAAAGCCAAATGTCTCTGTCTTCTGTGAACAGGCAGTCACTGTGGACTCTGCAGCATATGCATGTGTTACTCTCTTTAAAAATATAAAAATAAACTGTATGTACTTACTTCATCAGTGCAGGATTTAGAGCGAGCTATTATTAGTGGTTTCAGGCACCATTGTGCATAGCGGTGTTAGTGTGAACGCAGTCCTGTGCTTAGGGGGAATTCTCATTCTTGGCAGAGTTTGGAAATGCATGGGGGAGGAGCAAGGGTCTCAGCCTAGTGCCCTGTAAGAGATTGCCAGATAGGGTGGTACACAGAGCTATTAGTGGTCCCGGTTCAGGTTTCATGCTATGACTTGGTTCAATTTACTTTTCCTTAAAAAAATATTTTTGGGGGAAAAATGAAAAAAGACTCTAATAATACAATATTAATTATTTCAAACAAGAGACAAGAATCCCAGGAGTTACCAGGCTAAGTTTCAGGATATCATCTCTGCTCTGTAGGTATCACTCAAAATAATAGATTATACTTCTCACATTTGTGCCTAAAAGGACACCAGTCTTGTTCTCGCTGCCCAAAAAATCATCAGCCAGGAACAGAATCACTTGTACTGTAGAAAACCTTTTTCTCCTGTAGTGTTTTCTCTGTCTATGCTGATCCTCAGAGGAAGGGGCAGAAACAGAAGCATGACTAATAGTCAGCATTTCTATAATGCCTGTTGGAAGATCTGAAAGCCCTTAGAATCATATAGAAATGTAGCTGTATAACATCTTGATGAAGGAGATAGATGTCTTCATTTAGAGTTGTGAAAGCTGAGAAGTTAAGGTTACAAAGACACTGTAGAACTAGAACAGAACCTAGACAATGTTTCTAAGTCTTTTTTTAACCAAATAAAAATGTAATCACTGTTCAGAATAAATACCTCCAGCTTTAAGTGTTTGAAGACCCAAGAAGGAGGTGTTTCAGAAGTCAGCAGGCGATGAATTTCACAGAATGAGTGCCTAATAGCTAAGGAAGCTACCACCTACAGCGACACATGTTACTTGAAATATGCATATAGCCAATTAATAAGGAGGAGATTAGAGACAAGGTCTATAGACTCTGCTGCACCAAAGAGCCATGCTAGAATACCGTTCCTGGAAGAATGCTCTAGGAGCTGCAGATTGGCTTTTTTTTTTTTTTGTCTTTTGCTGAGCCTATTGTTCCCATGAGGCAGAGGGAGGGAGAGGGAAAGACCAACACAGTGAAGGTCTGTGTTCTTCCTTTTCCTAAATCTCTAAGTGGGAACATGTCTGGGGAGGTGCCTTGCACGAGCAGCAGAGGAGGGTGCTTGTCTCTCCTCTTTTTTTTTTTTTTAATCTTTCTTTTTTTTTTTATTAGATGGATGGCAGAAGTATTACTGTGGACTATGCAAAAATTGTCGGTTTAAGCGGAGCACACAATCCTGTAGTTAGCTTGTAGATAAGATTTTTTTTTTCTTTTTTTTGTTTTTGAGAAGTAGCAGCTCACAGCAGATAGGAGGGGACCTTCAACACCTGCTCAAGGACACCACTAAAGCCAGTCTGCTGGCTTTCTGTTTCTCTTGTCCCAGCTGTACTTGATAAAACTATACCCTGGCCAGCTAGGGTCCTTTTCCAGAGGATGCACAATTTCTGCTTCTGTAATTACTGCAGTGCTGCTCTTAGCTTCGTGGAGTATAAGCACTGCTTCCACTGCAACACTTATTTTACAGTGATGTATACAAGGATCTCCTTTGACTTTGTTGACATGCAGCTGTGTCTGGTGTAGGACACCACTGCAGGAGACAGCAAGTTTGGGTAGAAAGCATAAGGAAGATAGAATATCCAAATGATATTATAGTTTGGGTTATGGACTGGCAAGAAATACCATGATTCTTGCTGAACTTAGTTAAGGAACTGTGCGTCGTGCTTCAGAAATTGTACCTTATTTTAATGTAAAGTATCTACTGATCTTTTCATGGCAGGGGAGCATAGACCCCCCTTTTTTTTGGTAGAGCGTCTGTCTCAGGTGATGCACTGTCTTCTGAACTGTGCCGTACTCTGAATAATAGCATAATTTCCTCTGTTGGGCACATTTACGATCTGATAAACCGGTAACCTCAGTTAATGTATATGTACCAGAAAATTTCTCCTATGGCAAATCCTAGAAGATAAAGGTCAAATTAACCACCTTAAAACATTGACTAATGAATGGTGAAATGACAGTCAAAGTCTAAAATGTACATAAAAATGTATCCAACACAGGGTTGTTGGTTGGACTGGAAGGGAACAGAGGCAAAGGAACTCAGAACTGATTCCTCTCTCCTTTTGTTCTTTAAAGATACTGTCATGTGGAGACTATAGTCCTTTTCTACCTCACACTTGAATTTGCTTGTGGAGTGATTGGAAGCATGAATGATGAGGCCCATCAAAGGACATTAGATAAAGTTTTATGCCCTCCATACGCATAGAAGAGCAAGCAGTCACTTCCCAAATATGATTTTGCAGAACACTTCTTTTGATGTTTTTCCCTTTTCTCAGAGATCAATGGCAGTGCCACCAACTCCTCTTCATACTGCACGGGTCCTGCAAGAGGATAAAGACCACTGGGATGAAGTTAAAGTGAGTCAATCATAGTTCAGATTTCTTGAAGTCAAGTCTGGTAAGAGATTAGGTGGGATGGCTTCTCTGCCTGTGCTATTTCCTTGGAGATTATGGCTACTTTGAATACAACCATGTTAAACAAGGGAAGCATAAACAGTCTTGGTTAGAGCAGTAGTGTATATGATAACTGTTAAAAAAAAAAAACAACACAGAATGCTATTTGAGCTTCATCTGACAGCCCTACAGCTGTGCCAAATATCAACAAACATGATATTTATGATCAAAGGTATTAATGATGCTACCTGCTGAGCCACTGTATGTCACCACAGAGGAGAAGGGACAGTGTTGAGGGAGTTTGAAGTTCATTATAGTGAAGTGAAGAATATTATGAAAATGTAGGGGAACAGGGTGGGAGGATTGAGCTGCATTCTGTTTTTCTACTGTGTTCGTGTATTGTAAAACAACATTAAATAACCTTAGCCTTGTCTTGTTATGATATTTGGAAAGAGATGAGAAAAAAAAAAAAATTTGTCTTTCACTGAATCTAACCAGGTGCCTCACCTACTGTTTGTACTGATGATAGTTGAATGCTGCCTGCAAAGTGAAACTTTAGGGCAGACTAACAGTTGTTTGCAAGCCTTAACTCTTTCGCGCTGGCCTGTATCAGGTTGGCACGTTTTTACAATTCTGAATTTTCTGCACTTACAATGCTTGGCATTTTGATAATTGCAACATTCCTGTACTGTATTTTACTGATTACTGATCTTATTTAAATTACTGATGTATAGTCTCAGCTGTTGAGCTATGTAATAGTAAAATTCCATAGTACGTACACAACATTTGCGTCCCGAGTCAGAGATCAAACAGTTATTTTCCCTTAGCCGCCTTCATTTCCATGTTTCTGAGAACTTCTTACATTTGTGCTTTGTATAGGTCCCAGAGGTATTCCCTTGGGCCACCGACATTCCCATAATATTTAATCATCTTTCCTTTCCTAAACTAAATGCCTAGACATTAATTTACTTAAGCAGATCTTTGTTCACAACCTTACTAAAAAGTTTAAAATTTGCCTGCACTTAAACATTAATTCAAACTAAGGAAGCATGTGAATTTGAAGCACGTACTTCTAAACAACTTTGTGTGGACTCTTCATTCTAGTTCCTGCTAACCTAGTTTGGTAACAGAGCAAGGCAGTCAGTGTTCCGAGTCTGGTGTAAGAAGCCCAGGCTCAGTAGCTGATGAAGGCCCAGAGCCAGCCAGTAAGAAATGCTGGGCACAGGGACATGGTGAAATTTAGGCCAGCGGAGTGTGGTCCTGCATGCTCACATATGAAACACTGTGTGAATAGTTCCTCCTGAATGAGTCCATGAGCAGAACGAAGCCTTTAGTCATAGTCCAGTGCAGCAGAAAGGGCTCAGCTGTTTCTGGCCATAGCATAACAGAGGGCTCCTTTTTGTACATTCATCACCTGGCAGTAGTGTGGGGTGGCTGTGCACTCTCTGCTTTGGGGTTTTCAATAAATTACTTCCTTGGTTTCAGGAGGAGATGACCAGCGCTTTGGCTACCATGAGGGTGGACTATGATCAGGTGAAAATCAAAGACTTGAAAACATCCAACAACCGCCTCCTGAACAAACGCCGTAAGAAGCAGAAGCAGGCAGGCAGCTCTTCTGCAGCCCCTGGGTGCAATAACCAATAAGAAGAGAAGCCAAGGACCTGTGGGTGGAGGGTAAAAGCTAAAAGGAACAATTTAAAATCAGTATGATCAACTCAGTCCGTACCACAAAGGCAATGAGACCGTGAAGAAGCTATCCTGCAAAGAGAAAGCAGGATGAATGATTACATTTTTGTAACTTGAATCAGGGCTTTGCTTTTAAAGGCTAATAATGTATATGACATGATTCTGTTGCATATTGCTAGGGAAGGTACAGTAATACCAGAAAGGTTACAGTTTTTTGGTTTGGTTTTAACTGTCTCAGATGAGAGGAGAGAACAGGAGGCAGTCTCAGCATACTAATACACTGAGGCTTTAACAGCCATCTACAAGAGTAACTTCTGCTACCGTTTTAAACTTGGGAATAGAAAAAATGCCAAGTGTTCTGCTAGGAGTGTTTTAGTAGTTCAAACACGAGTACTGAGAAAGGAGAAAAATGTCACTGCTCTTTATATGAGTAGCACAGGTGCAGTTCTATTATGGATGCATCTGGATAGCATTTCGTGTTAGAATTGGTAATAGTCAGTATTTCCAAACTTACCTCCTATAGTTACAGAATATCACCTACAGAGTAAACAGTTTGTCCTGTTACATGAAAAAGCATCCATACATTTCCATTTTCATAAAGTCTTCGTGTAGTTTTATGTGAAGATTTCAGTTTGTCATGGATTCTCATTTGATAACATGTAAGTTTTCTAAACGGTAACCATTATGTCATCCCTCTCTTGTAATGTTTTTAATTTGAATGGTACTTTATGAGAAGAGTTTTAATAAGATTTAATTAGTTGAAAATATCCTGCAGAGAATATTGCTGTTCCTCTTGGATCCACAACCTCTAGGGCGTGCAACTGGACATGCAATTGTATACAAGAGACTGCTGTAGAAGAGAGACTTCTGAAATCCGGGAAGAAGTGGCAAAAGCACATTCTCTGAATGGACACCGGTGTCTGCCAGCATCCCTTCTGGTAATTATCTCCAGATCCTGTGCCTAACGTGCTCATCGTAGCAGATTTGGGGGTGCTGGGATTGGTTTGTTTCCTGTGTTCAGGAAGGGGGAAGATGCTACGATGTTTCTGGATCCAAAGATTTTCACTACCTAAGGGCGATTACCTATGCGTATAGCCACCCGTTGGTTTTTTCCTATTCTAATTCTTGTTTTATGTGATCCTAGCCTTGGTTTGCTAATTTATTTTACTTTGTGATCAAAATATTTCCTCTTGCTGTATTTTGGGGTTTTTTTCGGTTGAGGTGAAGCAAATATGTGTGAAAGTATTACCAGAGTCTAGGATGAAAATTATGTGCTTCCAGTGATGCAGGCAAGAACTACTTTGTGGTAGGCACACAGAGTACTGGTGTGTTAATGGGCTCAGAAGAATATTAAAAGACAAAAAGGAAAGTAAGGCTCCAGAGAGGATCTGAATCATCAAATCTGACTGCCACACAGGTCTTATTACCTCCCACAAAGGTCAATCCAAGGCTTTGGACCTTGTCTGGGGAGCCCTGTTCCCATCTTCAGAGTGTTGGATGAGACCTCCATTCTTTTTTGTGAACTGGTCCTAGGGTTTTATAAACTGATTTTAATAAATCGTATTAACAACATTCCTTCCTTCTGTCTTCCCTGTTTTTGCTGAGATGTTGCAGAGTTTGTATTGTTTTGCAAGGTCCATCTGTGTTGAAGGTGATGGGAGAGGGGAGAAGGAAAGTGTTCAGTGGTCTCCACATTCAAAGGCTACCCAACTTTGGGCATTTTTTTAAGATTACAAGGGTTTGTTTTTAAATACTATTCTCTGCAAAGATGTATTTTAAAATTATTTCATGTTTATCTAGGTATCTCTATGATTATAGCATGTCCTGTATATATTTATTTTATTATATTACTCCTATGAATTACGCAAATATTATTCATTAATTGTAAATGATAATACAACGAATGAAGAGTTGTGACGTGCTCAGGGTGCAACAGTTGGGATTAGAGCCGGATCCAAGTTTCTGTCCCTTTATCCAAATTTTTTGAGGGCGCTATGTACATCACTCCTTCCTTCCCCTCTCTGTGCCCGGTTGGGGCGATACACGCTCCCACAACCCCAGTTAATAGGGCAACTTGTGTATAACGTGGCGATGTCCTGGCTGCCTTGGGTAGAATGGTATCGGGACTGTTGCAACCCATGTTTTTCCTTCTGTCTTGCCCGAAGTTTGAGCAGGCGCTCTCAGTTTCCAGCTGGTGCCTTCTTGCTTGTCAGTTCAGTCTGGAGCTTGACGACACGCATGTGCTCCTGAGCAGTTTTCCAGGGGGAACTGTAAAGCACATCTGGGCCTGAGCCCTTCCTGTGGCGTTACAGTCTTTACCGCGGCGCAGGTCAGGAGCTGGAGTGGTGAACTGATGCACTTGGGCACTGTGCCTTCAGGTTTCAGTCCCTGTATAGCAGGCCAATACCATCTCATTAAATTTGGACTAATAGTTCTTGCGTTCTGCCCTGCAGTGACAACATCCAGGAATAATGTAAAGCCCGGTGGGAACCTGAGGAGGGCCTCAAAATGGCAGACGTGGAAGTGTATGCAATTATTGTACAGAAGTGTTTGTGCTTATTTTTCAGAAGAAAGGAGGCAACTCCTTGGGAGCTGGGAAGCAGCTGACCTGCAACGTATGGACCCTCAAACCGCCGTCCTGCTTGTAACACGGCCGCCTTCTGTAATGCGATGCGAGCAGGGTATAGGAGCTCTGGTCTTGTCGTAAAGGTGTCCGAGCCACCCGGAGCTATGAGAACCTGCCAGGGACCAGGTCTGGGGGCTGTGCTTGTTGTCACCCCTCGCTGGGGGTGCCGAGGTTCCCCCCGCAGCGTTTCCGTGTCTGTACGGAGATGCCCGCACCCCCCTACAGACCCACGGCTGGGGCTGGGGCTGGAT